ACTGGTGAGGTAATCTCATACTACAGTGAACCAACTGTTCACCCCTTTTAATCATAAGCATAGGCTTGAAAGCATATTTAGGCACTGTGTTACGTAACAATGCTAATTCGATATTATGCAATACAACGATATAACAGGAAAAAATTCTTCTCCTTCTCCCTATCCTTTATAGAATCGGTAGACTTTGAATCATTTCATCCAATAACTGTTGAAAATTGTAAATTATCAAATCAAACTATGAGCACATCATGTATTTCAACATTGTCATCACCGCCACAACAACAACAGGAGCAGTCATTATCACCACCGAAACACAATATCCCATGTCATAATTTAAATGATCTACAACGTGAGCCAAGAAATCATATGCGTAAACAACGTTTCACTTTTCATCCATATTCAACTGTTGCTTTAAATTCTTCACAAAATGCAGCTTTAGCTAGACACGCATTTCTACTAAGGTGAGTGTAAATAACTATTTTACTGAGTGATTTGTTTATAAAAAAATAAACATTACAATCCTATGTCCCTAATCACTTAGTGAAACCTATTATATAGTTTGTAGTCTGGTTTGATATAGGGTAGTCTAACTAATAAGCAGTTAGTTACTCCTGTCTACTGCAGCCAGCGTTACATCAGGATACGAAGATGCCACAAGGTAACTTGAGACGTAGCGACAAAAAGGCAGCCAATAGGAGAGTTGTTTTCAAGTCATGATCGTATCACGTTCAGGTCGTGATTTATGCATGCACTGACATGAGAACCTGATTGGAGAAATTCGACCACATGCAAGAAATCGGATTGGTTCATTTATGGCTTCACTTTCTGAGAGTTTTGTAAATATATATATGTCATGTATTTGCCTAATAAGAGTTGTTGTCGCTGTTTTTGCAGTTGCAGGCTGTCTCTATCTTTTGATTTCTCCATGGCTCAGTGAAACAGAAGGTACTGAGGTGGGTCAGTCGTAAAGGTATTCGGTTGAGGTGTCTATTGAGTCTCAGTATTCACTATACCCACGCACGCAACCCTACCATTCGGTCATAACATAGCTATTATAATGAAGAACAAAGTGTTTGCTGGATATTCACAAAAAATAGATAACTAACACACATTGTAACTAGGATGAAAATGAAAAGTGGTTAGCGATTGAATTTTAATACCTTAGTCTTCGAGACAGTAAATCGATAGTGTATGGAAGCCATTGATTTGAGCCTTGGAGGTTATCTACCTGCAGGTTAAGTCTGACATTTTTGTTCAATGGACATTGTTTTAGGATCAGAAACCTCAGGAAATTGATTTTAATGCGCTAAGATATGAAATGATACGTCTAAACACCTTGTAAGTTACATTTTCTCTTCTTCAGATCATTTTTTTGGAAATATTACTCAAAAACAAATTCGCAAGCTGCTTAGCTAAAGAGTTTACAGTAAAATTCTATTCATTGACAATGAATATAGTGGCAGAATATTTTGTATCCTTATCATTTTTACATAAATGAACAAACCAACACCAGGATAGTTGTACCATTGGTTTCAAGATATTTATTGCTGTTGTGCACAGAATTTAAGGAAAAGAGTATGTTTTCACAACACACACACACACACCCTATCAACTAATCAATAAGGAAATGCTAGAAGTAAAAAGAGAAATAACGAGGCAAGAAAGTAACCAAGATGTTAGAAGGCTGTGAAAAAGAAAAAATGTAGTGGGAAAACAATGAAATTTGGCATCGTGATTAAGATAATGTCTAGATGCATCTGAACCACTGAGATCGATTATAAGCTATATAATCCAGAGACAGCAACCACCGATTTCAGCTATCACATGGATCCCGAACTGAGAAATCTACTTTTTATCATTTGACTATCTGAGATAGCCATAGTTTGGCAGACTAGTATTTATACTGGGTCAAGATATAAGGCGAAATGGAAATATGGACCACAGCCGGGTTTCTGACCCAATGCTCTACCAACTGAGTTACGAGGTCTAAATGCTGGCCAGATTTTTATTTCATTTCAGTCACTATGGGTTTTGGCCGACAACCATGTGAATTCGTGACTTGTTACTACTGCTTGATCGTATTCACACTCTCTGGCTCGAATCAGGCGGCGATTCAAATTTTCATTTTACCTACAATCATCACCTAGTATAAGTACTAGTCTACCAAACTACGACTATCTCAGACAGTTAAATGATAATCAGTATGATGCTCCCCCTCTCTAATTCAGTTACATTTCGATTGGGATAAGAATTCCTGACGAGGCAACCAGTTTGAATACGATCAAGCAGTAGTAACGCTTCACGAATTCACATGATAGTCTGACAAAACTCTATGGGATTGAAGTGAAATAAAAATGTGCTCAGCAGTCTGACCTCGTAGCTCAGTTGGTCGACTTGATGAAAGTTCACAAATCTTCCTCTGCTACCTAAACCTATATGCTAGACTTCTGTGTTAGTGACTTACTGACGTCACGAAGCATGATCTATCATACAAAGATAATGATGTTTCATACTCAAATACGGTGACAGATCTAGCTGCTGTATAGTATGCTGAACTTTTAGTACGCAAAAGGATATCAAATAAAGACTACTTATAACTTTGGTTAAATATCTCTACTTGAATGGTTAGAAAACGAATATACCCTAAGAGAAGGTTAAACATGATAATCCTTTTGATTTTGGTGGTACTGGATAACTCACACTTTTGATGAATACTACAAATTTTGAAACCCATGTCGTGAACTCCTTACCTCTTGGACATATACAAACAGTACTTTGAATGGGTGAGAATTGTCCTCCTTCTGATCTTAATACCGTAATTAATATCTAAAACGTCATACAGTGCACTCTAAAGATTGTATTATTATTATTATTATTATTATTATTATTATTATTATTATTATTATTATTATTATTATTATTGTCACAGAATATCATTCTGGAATCTTACTCAATTTGTATCATCTTCACTTTGCATTGCTAATTCTTGAAAAACGCTTAACTCCAACTCTGAATTGATACTTGTGTGGGTGTATATGTTTTAGTTAGCCAAATTCAGTTTAATTATAAAATGACTGTGAAATAAAATTGAAACTACAGTCCAGTCAGAAGAATAAAAAATTTCATGAATGAAAAGACAGTGTAAAGCCAAGAATTTATCAGGGATATTGATGATAATCATATTTAAAGCTGTTATGGTTTCGAACGCTAATGGTTATCTATATATATTCCGGAACGAATATAATACGCACGCTTATCTGACAGATAACTTGGTACGCAAGAGACACTGACTGCAACCCTGGGACCAATAGAGAGAAGACCGAAGCTGGATGATGGGAGAGTGCATAACTCCGAGAATATAATAATAAAATCTATCCAAAACACGTGAATAAGTACACATATGACAAATGACCTTGTCCTCAATTTGAGGCATTTGCATAGTAAGAGTAAAAGTTAACCAATCAGCGATTTACACTAAAAATAATGTGGGCATAAAATAGACTATTAGTTATACGGTGGAAAGTGGTATGGGAATGACACGTTAAAATGTTCAGATCAATAACAATGTATTATACAAAACTGGGGCATCACAACACCCCTTTTTTGAAAGAAAAATCAGAAAACTTTTATACCTTCGCTTTTGGGATCCAGATGTAACTGAACTGTTGGGGACCGCTTTCGATCCGTGCATCTTCTGAGAAGGAGGCTGACCAGTCTTCCACCATAGCTTCTTGGAAATAATCGTTATATCGGAAGCTGTGTCGATTTGTAGTCGTGCCGAATGGCTATTTGTCTGGACGGTGATATGTTTTCTCCGTGCTGGTGCTTGTGCTTGAAAAGTAGCAGTAAGACTAAGAGATTTGCCGACTGGTCGAGACTTCTATCTTCGACGGTGACTGGATTGTGATCTGCCTGTTCTGTGTGGTAGGGGCTGCCTGCGAAATCCGTCCTTGTGACCCACAGTATTACAATCTCTGCCTTTATTCTGCTTATAAGGACAAGATTTAACGAAATGCCATGTGCCACAATGCCAGCAGGGGGACGGTGGGGTCTTCTTCATACTTCTTCTAGTATTGTATGGGCTGCCGGGATGTCGAACAGGAGACGAGGACCAGGGGTCTTTGGACCAGAGAAGGATGCAGAGGAATTCGATTTCTGGCGAACCGCATGCACTTCATGATCACCCTGGTGTCTGGATTGGACTAAACTTGTATCCCTTTGTAGGTTCACCGATCGTTGACATCCAGCAGCGATATCACTCAACGTTAGAGTTGGTTCTTGCGTAGGATTCGATGAGTCAGCTGCAGGAATTCTGGACTGAGTTAATTATTCCATAATCTTCATTGGTAGTTCAAGAATTTTGTCCAGCTTCGAAAAGTCCACTTTTTATGCAATCCCGTCACCACTGTTGCGGTTTACAAAGCGTTAATAGTTATATATATATATATATATATATATATATATATATATATATATATATATATATATATATACGTGCGCTCAGCTGATAGCTAACTTGGTACGCAAGAGACACTGACTGCAACCCTGGGACCAATAGAGAGAAGACCGAAGCTGAATGATGGGAAAGTGTATAACTCCGAGAATATAATAATGAATCGATCCAAAACACGTGAATAAGTACACACATGACAAATGACCTTGTCCTCAATTTGAGGCATTTGCATAGTAAGAGTAAAAGTTAACCAATCAACGATTTACATTACAATGTAGGCATAAAATAGACTATTAGTCATGCCGTAAAGAAAATGTTGTGGGAATGACACGTTAAGATGTTCAGATCAATAACAATGTATTATACAAAACTGAGGCATCACAACAAAAGCATATGACGTGTGAAGTATACAACAATGGGACTTAACAGATGTTAAGAAATGGAAGGCATCTTAATGTGATATGTAAATCCAAGGTTATTCAATTTCATGTAATTGAATGCCTCAACTTACGGCTGAAAAACCCTCTAAGTCAGCAAAACCACTACCTATACATTCATGTAATACTGGAATATGCTTCACTTTTTTAATGAATTTAATGCTGAGGATATCATGAAACCTGGTGATGAAAACGTCCACAACAAAATACCAAAGCTCAAAGAACACTAAACCACCATCAACCTCATGCTGAGCTATAAATTATTTCCATTATTTCAATGCATACGTAGTTGCGGATTTATGAGATATTGACTAACTCATCTAACTTTTTAAGCAATGCGTCAAATTTTCAAACTTCTACCCACTTAATTCAGCCTGAATTACCGAGTAGTACCTAAATGAAACTAACAGACAATTTGAACATAGAAATCTACATAGAAGTGAATTTGTTTAACCTGTCACCTTTAAAAGCAACATGTGAAGAAGAAGTGGAAGAAAACGAATAACATATATCTTGATAAGTGTATGAGTGGACAGAGTATGAATAAGTGAATACTAATGTAAATATTGAAGAATTTGAAGATGATAAAGTGTGTCTAGGTTTCTGCATTGCTATGGACAACTTTGAGCTATATTTTCTTTCAATTATCTGATGGTTCCTAGCCAGGTAACCTACGCCTTTACACACACTCTAAACTGGCTTTAAGATAACTCATGAATTAGTTCTCCATTTTTGTTTGGTCACAAAATCAGTGTGGTTCATAGTCTGTTACATAAACTTGTAAATGCTGACTTTCAGGTTACATATCATTTCAGAGATTATAGTGTACAATATTTCGCAATAATCGTTTCTAGCATAATCCCTACAATGGGATACCTCGTTATCAATAGTGTTGTTGATTTTCAAATTAATGCTACGTTTGTCTACCACTCTTGTTTGTAATAACTGTTGTTTTCTTTTAGTTCATCGTGTCCATCTTCTCAATATTTTATACTGGGTGATGATTGGAGGTGAAATGAAAAATTTAGATCACGACCGGATCTAAACCAACGACCACCAAGTTTCCGGCAAGATACTCTACCAATGGAGCTACGAGGTCCAAATATAGACCAGATTTTTATTTCACTTCGATCTCAAAGAGTTTTTCTCGACTATCATGAGAGTTCGTGATGCGTTACTACTGCTAGATGGTATCTAAACTGGCTACCGCGTCAGGAATTTTCATCCAATTGAAACGTAACTGAATTAGAGAGGGGGAGTATCATACTGATTATCATTTAACTGTCTGAGATAGTCGTAGCTTGGTAGATTAATATTTATACTAGGTGGTGATTGGTGGAGCGTTGAGCAGGTAACCCGGTGGTCGTTGGTTCGATCGAATATGGCCGCGGTTCAGATTTCCACTTTGCCTTATATCCTCACCCAAACTGCGGCTATCTCAGATAGTCAAATGATAATTCTCAATATTTATCGAAAATTCGGCATAAATATTCATTATCTTGCAAACATTTAAATATATGACAATAGAATTACTGCTTAAAACGTTTTACTATTATTTTGGTTTACATATCAGATCGAATCTAGCCTCACTTATTCCATCAAATCATTATGCTTCAGTTGCTGCTTCTAGTGGTCTACCACGAAGACGATATGAACGTAAAAGAAGGAGAGTTTACAATCCTAGCACAGATGAAGATCCTACTATAATAGCACAAAAAATTATCAGTGAACAAAGACCATCAACCATTAATTATGATAGCTATGATCCAACATCAACTGTAAATCCATCAACACATATTCATCATAAACAGCATAAATTTAATCCTTCATTAAAGGATAATTCATTTTCATCATTAAGTTATCATCATAATGGACAATGGATCCCGTGTGATTTACCATTAGGATATGACTATCAACCAACAAGTAGTCATGGTTTACAATTATCTTGGCGTAAGAAAGTTTATGAATTTTTCAGTGCTCCTGTTACACGATTTTATTTGCATGTGGTAAGTTGTTTACATTCCTTATAATAATGTTATTTTTCAGAAAGTTTGTCTTTTAAAGCATAGTAATTATCAATGAAGTTGTAACGAAAAACTATAGAAGGTGGCAAGTGGATTCTAGCTTTGAGTCCTATGTTGTAGACATGCACCACCAGCAGTAAAACTTATTATGATGTTATTATTTGTACTTTGGGTTCCTAGTGGAACATAGGGATTCATCAACACGTCTCCTATGCACTCCCTTCTCTGCAAACTTTTGAACTTGGCTCCACGACAACCCACAAGCTCTCATTTCCTCCTCACACCATCTCCTCCATGTCACACTCAACTCCCACGCCAAACTCGTTGTTTCCCATCGGGGTTCCACTCGAGTGCCTGGTAGGGCGCGTGATGTCCCTAGTCGGCCTTCTCAGTGTATTCCCAATCCATCTCCACTTCCACTTCCTGCTGCATATTTTTTGAGTGATAGGTTCTTGGTTGGTTCGTTGCCAGCCAACCAGCTAGCCAGAGTTCCTTCTTGCTTATTCCTGTTATTCTGGCCATCTCATCTGAGCTTCAGTAACGAGTGAGTGTAGGTGGCAGTTGTTGATGAATGTGTGTAGTTTGTTGGAAATGCTTTTCATAACGCGCCAAGTCTCTGAGCCATACACAAGTACTGATTTGACGTTGGTTTTTGAAAATCCGGATCTGGATGTTGTTGACGTTTTATGCTGAGTGCAGTGTAGTGCAGTGCAGTAGATCTCCACACTGGTTTCAGGTTAATGAACGCCTGTCTTGCTGTTTTTTCGATCCTTTATGGCTTTGACTTCCTCGTCTGTGCCTGTGCCGCCTGTAGTTGAAACAGTGCTGCCTGCCTATATAGGTGTAGGTGAAAGAGGTTACTTCAAGTTTCTCCCATTGGTGGTGATTGGAGTTTGTTGTTGTTGGTTGAATATCTTCTTCACCTCCGTCTTCTCGACGTTCAATTGAAGTCTCCTCTTCGCTGCCCTGCTGCTTCCTTCAACTTGTTAGTTTTTGCTTGTAGACCTTCGAGTTTGTGCCACAAGACTGTAGAGACAAGCCATCGGCGAAATCCAAACCTCCTTGGATCTTTCCCTGGTTCAGCGTATCCCCTTGTTGTCGCTGCTCACAGTTTGTTGCATGATCTAGTCCACTACAATCAGGAATATCATGAGTGATATTAGGTGGCAGCCTTCCTTCACTCCAGTCTCCTGTCTTCACTTCATAAGCATCACTGAGCTTCCCATTGTGAATTACTTGGCATGTGGTGTCTTCATATAGTTGTTGAATGAGACTAATAAAGGTTTGCGGCACTGGAACCGAAGTGTTGAAGCAGCTGTCTGGCAAATGACTTGTCGGTCGACGCTGTCGAAGGCCTTTTCCAAGTCGATGAATTTGAGGTAGAGTTGAGTTGACTGTCATTCTATACTCTGTTCTATGATGACGCGTAGCGTCGCGTTGCAATTTGGTCCGTATATAATTTGTACTTCCCGAATGAAGTCTTCATCTCTATGTGGCTCATACTAAGAGGCTTTATGAACTGATGTCTAGTTCGGTATGGCCATTTTTGTCTGTCTACCAGCCTAATTCTACGTTATCTAACATTGTAAACCGAGATATGTAATGGCTTGGTGCACGTAACTCATTTCTTTGCTTATTATTCAATATTTCACCACATATAGATGAAGAAATACATGGTCAAAGACTTCTGACTTCTTTTTGTCTACAGTGTTATTTCTTTACTCTGTTTCTTTTATTGACACAGTTTTTGATTCATTTAACTCACCAATCATACCAATCGGTATTAACTGAACTCTATAAGTACAGTGTAACAGAATTATTTATTCCAAAAGATGAATTCTCATTTCATTCGCATTGGATTTTACTCTGTTTATAGTTTTCTGGTAAACTGGTATACAGTGAATTCAGTTTGAGACAGTATTTACCATTGTTCATTCTTCTGTTTGTTTTTATAGCTCTTGTATCTTGTATTTCTCATCCTATTCATTGGCCTGTGTATACACACTATACCACCGGATTCATTTTCATTTCTGGAACTTTATGTCTACTTGCATATACTAACATATTGGTTGGACAAGTTTCGTGAGGTAAGCATAAGTGAATTTTGAAGTTATATACTTTTGTCTTGCATAAATCTTGACTACTTTAAGTAGTGTGCTATTATTGTCATTAGAAATAACTTTAATTGAGATTAAAGAGACAAACTAAATCACATTAGGATTCGAACTAGTGGATAGACACAGGATCAAGATACCTGTGAGATCCAGTTGGTTACTGGATTTAACCTTGACTTCGGTCATTTATGTATCTTCCTCGTCGTCATAATCAAAGTCGAACTGAATTGTTTGGTATGCTTATGCTACTTTAAACTAAACGCACGTCGCCAATGAAATGAAAGTCAGGGTTGGTGCAACTTATCGCTTTTATTTAGATAAAACAAAACTTTATTGAAGATATATATATATATATATATATATATATATATATATATATATAATAGTATACGGTAGTACAATACAATACAATACAATACAATACAATAGTATCATATCATCATCATCATTATCAACATAGGACCAGGCATTACTGCGTTACGGTCCGAGTTGCCACACCTCATTTCAGCACATCAAGTAGAAAGGTATTGAGGTGAAGGATGAAGATAAGAGAATGCAGTCAAAAGAAATATAAAGTATGAGAAGCAAGAAAGGAACAATGAAAAAGTGGTGAGATTCGGTATAGCGTTGTTAAGATGAGGATAATGTGTGTGTGTATACATCTGCGCCACTGACATCAATTCTCAGCCATATCATCCAGAGTCAGTCTCCAACCACTGGTTCCTCTTGTCCCGCCGACCCCAATCACCTAGTCTGCATCGCCCTACATGGCTCAAACCAACAGTCAGAGACTTCATACATTGGTGCCATATTTTAATCTGGCCACCTCTAGCCTTTTTCCAGTCTGGACCCACCTCAGCCAACATTGTGTGATGAGGCAATCGATGACTAGGCAGGCATACGTAGTACGTGTCCCAACCATCTCAATCGATGAAGGTTCACAACCTCGTCTACTGACTTACCTCTTCTCCCTAAAACTCTACACCTAACTTCTGCATTACTCACATGGTGACACCACAGAATATGGCCTATACTACGAAGGCGATGGTGGTCAAACACTTGAATCCTTCTCATATCTTCCACTTTCAATGGCCATGTTTCACAGCCATAGATTAGAACAGAGTGGACTGCTGTGCAGTACACGCGACCCTTAATGGACAAACGGAAATCAGGGCGACGCCATAGGTGGCGTAAATGGGTAAAGGCCAATTGAGCGTTTTATATCCGTGAAGAGATTTGATCGGCAACTGACCCACCAGGGTTGACCAGTCCTGGAGCAAAAATTTGCATTTGAGTGGTGAAAATCGCATCCCAAACATTCTCATTATCATATCAGTTAACTTAATGATCATATTATCAACTTGATTGATAGACAAACTTCAATCAGTAGAAAAAAAATTGACAGCTACAGAGGTTACCAATTCTTAAATTTTATTTCTAATCCTAAAAATTATCTTCAAAATTAAATGTTTACACCATTATATAGTGTTTTGAAATATTTACCATCCTAATTTCATATAATTTGTAATTGAGCGCTCAAAATATCATTTGAAAACAGCAAGTATTAACGCTACATATCCCTTTATAGTAATAATCATAACACTAGTGATAAAATCGATTCTGCTAAATAAATATTTTCAATTGAAGTGTACATTTCATCGAATCTAAGCCTCATCAGTTGAATATTATGTACTTCTACAATCAATAGTTATTATATGGGTTTTTTTCTTTTACTGTATTGTATTGTATTGTATGTGGATTACAGTCGAATAACTGTGTCGGAATGTTGTCAGAAAACAAAAGTAAACAGTTGAAAAATATTTTATTGACATTATTTCTTATCAGTAAATGTGATAGTTTTCACCAAAGTTATCAATCATGCATTGAAAAATTCTCATGATTTTTCCTCCTCAAAGGGAAAGATAAGGCAAGGGTAAATAAAACAAAACAAAAAATGAAGACATAATTTTCTATTATGTTATTACTGCTACAATTAGTATTATAATTCCAACTACAATCAAAATAATCGGTGCTGTTGAAGTAGTGTCCTATTTTATCTTTCTAATGCTAAACCATCTATGTCATACACCTGTGTTTGCTTGTGACTTTACAAGCGAATATGTATATGGAGAAAAAACCATTCTTATAGGCAATGAAGGAATGAATTCACATTATTATTATTATTATTATTATTATTATTATTATTATTATTATTATTACTATTAATATCAATGATATTGGTTTGGTGTGTGTTACTTATGAGGAGATATATAAGTAGTATGTTGTACGATATCGCCTGGAACAAGTAATTATAATTGCATTTTTGAGGGGGTTGTGGAGATTTGGAAATATTTCAAGTTGTTATTCATCGAAGACTGACATCAGTTGGAGGAACATTGGAAACCTGGGAGCACTGGACAGCTGTTTCGTCAGACTGGTATGGGACTCCTCAGCAGTGCGCACCCACGACCCCACCAGCAGGGATCGAACCCGCGACATTCAGGTCCCGCGGCCAGCACGTTACCATTGAGCCACTGAGTCAGAATCCAATGCTCCATATTTCCAACTTCTGTTGGCTCACGATATAGCACAACCGCCACCCAATGTCATCGTTGAGTATCTGTCCTCACGGCCATCAGGCTTTGACTCCACTGGTCACGACTTGTCATTGGAACTTGGGGAATACTTATCGAAGCTAGTTACTTATTAGCACCAGTTGAATTGGATTTTTGAGGGAGTTGTGGAGATTTGGAAATATTTTAAGCTGTTATTCATCGTAGACTGACATGAGTTGTAGGAACAAAGGAAACCTGGGAGCACGGTTGCTCTATATCGTGAGCTAACATAAGTTGGAAATATGGACCATTGGATTCTGGCTCAGTGGCTCAATGGTAACGCGCTGGCCGCGGAACCTGAAGGTCACGGGTTCGATCCATGGCGGGGAGGAGTCCCATACTAGGACGAAACAGCTGTTCAATGCTCCCAGGTTTCCTTTGTTCCTCCAACTGATGTCAGTCTTCGATGAATAACAAGTTGAAATTATAATTGCCTTTAAATGATAAATCTCATAAAGAAATAAACAAAAAACGGTAAGGTGAAAATAATAGAAGAAAACCGAAGAAGTAATATAGACCAAAGGAAAGCTAGTCTAAGTAACAGAATATGGATGGAGGAAGAGGAGGAAATGGTAAAAAGAAGCACAATTAGGACATGTGCACACTATCCTCTATCAGTCATATATTACTCATATAAAAACACGACTGTAGATATGTTTAAATTTTGATGGGAATCGAAATTAATACATTAAAGAACAGGTAATTGAAGGCGAGATTTCATAGTGGACAAGGGAATCATAAGAATCTTTGCTGAGTATTTCATGAGAAATTCATGTGAAATTGTATCCCTAACCTAATTGATAAAATTGATCAATTTGGAAAAGTGGATGTTACCTTCAGATGATAATTCTTTTATATATGAATTGTTATTAAAAAAAAAAGGCGGACAAGACTTCTAAAAAATCAATGATGTTTGTCAAAAGTAACTGGTTCAAGAATGTACTCAGTGTTTGGCAACTCACTGATCTCCTAGCTATTGACTACAACTCTAGTGTAACAATATACATTATTAATGATGAGTAATGGCTAGCAGTGAAATCCAAGATGCGCATTTCGTCTAATCAACGACGGTATCATATAAAAACAATTATACTAAAAACTATACCCGCCAAACAAGAAATGGCTATCGTAGTTCAGTGGTGTAGTGGATAACTCGCTGGCGTTTGAAGCGATCACTCGCGAGTCGGAATCTCGGTGGGAACAATATCACTCAATGGGAAGCAGGTACATCCAACTAACGAGTCCCAAATAGGATGAAATGTGCATCTTGGATTCCACTGCTAGCCACGAACATAGGGAATATAGAGGCATCCGCACAAGAGCCCATATGCCAATAGAGACCGATCAATTCGGTATGACATAAAAACAATTATACTAGAATGGATCAACAGTATCAAGTAACTTTTTAGCATCAATGACCTCTATACACATTTATCAAGTCGAACAGTTACATAGTAAATCTATGCCCTGTATTTACTTCCCTCTGTGTACTTGTGTAATTCATCGAGACAAAACAACGAATACCTATTGTTTTTATTATTATTTGTCCCTTGGGTTCATAATAGAACATAGAGCTTCTGTAGCACGTCTTCATTCCACTCTATTTTCTGAAATCTTTTCAACCTGTCTCCACGACAACCCACAAGCTCTCATTTCTTCCTCACACCATCTCCTCCATATCACCCTCACCTCGAACGCCTAAATCGTCATTTCCCATCTGGGTTCCACTTGATATTCTGGCATGATGCGTGATGTCCCCGAAATGGTCTTCTCAGTGTATGCCTAATCCATCAATAATTCCATGAATACCTTATGTATACAATTATCATTATTATTTGTTTCTAATGTGCTGCATTGTCTAAATATCTTAAATTCGATATCCGTATGTAATGAATAAAGAGACTTATGATTATTTTACGCCTATACACTCCATCGTCAATTGCTTAACTAATACGTTTTTATTCTTTTTTTTTTATATAGGTAACACTTAATCCAGGTGCTAGTTATATTCAAAAGTTTGCGGTACATTTAACCGCATTTTGGAATATTTATGATATGATCATGTGCTTTGTATCTTTAGTTGGTATTGTTATCCGTTATGTTGGCATAGTTAATCATACTTATTATATGTGGGGTAAAAATCTCTTAATTATATGTTGTTCACTATGGTAAGTTATATTTTGTTTGTTTATTTGTTTGTTTGTTTATTTATTCTATTTGCTTTTAATTATCATTAAACAAATAGGTAATATATTAGAAAATATCTAAAATATATGAGTCACTTGATAATATAAAATACCCTCAGGTCACTGGTTCAAATCTTGTTATAATTCATATTTTCATTTCATTTTCATCATCCAGTGTCAAGATACCGATTGTCAACTAGGGATATTTGATAGTCAACTCTTCTCAACTCTAATGAGTAGAGAAAATGTTTACTGGATGGAATAGTTTATCAATTCAATGACACCAGTTCACAATGTTTTCATATGAATAAGGTTAAAAGTTATCCCCAGTTGTAATTGTACTTGTTATGGATTATTTAATTCTGTGTACATTTCCTACCGTTTATTCATATGCAAACTATTGGTTCCGCTTCCACCGTCTAGCTGAGATATGAGTATATTTACTCATGAAGAATGATGCTCACAAATCAAAGTTAACTAAATAAGCCTTCAAATAACATCAAAAAGAATTTATTATTATTCATTGTATTATACCATAGTTGATTGGACCAAATTGATCGGTCTCTATTGGGATATGGGCTCCTGCATGGTAGACTCGAAATTACTTGTGTCTTAATTACAGCTATGATGGATAGTGGCTAGCAGTGGAATCCCGATGCACATTTTGTCCTATTTGGGACTATAATTAAAACATTGGCAATATCGAGGCATCGGCACATAAGCCCATATGCCAATAGACCGATCAATTCAGTCCAATCAACGGCGGTATAATACAAGCAATGGTACTATAACTATACCCGTCTCACAAGAAGTGGTTATCGTGGCTCGGTGATCAGTGGATAACACTCTAGAGTTTGGAGCGATCGCTCTCTAGTCGGAATCCCGATGAGAATAACATCACTCACTGGGGGAGGCAGGTACATTCAGCTGGTGAGTCTCAAATAGGACGAAATGCGCATCCTGGATTCCACTACTAACCACTATGCATCATCACTAAAAATGATTTATGATTTCACTTTTCATTTCATAGGAGATATGTATTTCCGCACAGAACACCGGAGGATAACGTTTAACCTCACCTCTCTTATATTTATCTACCCTTTTATGAACCATAGAAACATGACTAATAACTTAAAATATTGAAAACGATAGTCATCCAAAGAAAAAAATCCACATGAACACCAAAAACCTGTTCCAATAATACTTTCGCACAGAAGTGGAATTCAACGAACAAGGTTGAACTATACCAGATACTCAGAACTACTTCACTAAATATGATTACCATAGTCTCAATAATTTGTTGGAAATTTCTTTTCAGTTTTCAAGCATTATCTAAACAATATGAAGAGTATGATGAATCTGTTTACAGGTTTGAATGTTTAACAAAAGTTTTCAACATTTTACTAATTATTACCCAGACCACAACATGAATAGGTGTTACAGTGGCTTTTTTATGCAGTTATCTGTAAAATCAGCCTAACAACTATTGAAATACTGTATTAAAAAACTACTCTCTTTGACAAAGTAAAGGAACCTGATAAGTTATTTTAAAAGTTACTGATGTGGTCTTCAAAGTTACTGCTTTCAGTTCACTGCTTTGTTAACAACAATCTACGTTGCATTTATTCCATTACTATTTCTGACTCAAAAATGAAAAGTAGCAGATGAGCTCCTTTGCGAATGCCTCGATAATATCGGATATTCATGATGTATTCATATTGTTGACTAGCTGTGGAACCCATGACATGTGTTTCGTCCCAATTAGAACCTGTACCCCAGTGAATGATGTTGTTCCCACTGAGACTTGAGCCTCAGTACCCATCACTTCAAACGCCAAAGCGTCATCCACTGGGGCGCGAGAGCCACGAGATAGGATCATGACCAAGGTAAATTTAGAGATTGGACATACCTGTTTTGAACACAGAGATCAGACTTGAATTCATGAATCTCTACGGCTTCTGCTGTTTTCAAGGGTGAATCGCTACTACCTATCCAAATGTTTGATTTAACTGTGAAGGAAGACTTTGAGAGTATTGAATGACTGAAATTAACCAGATACTCAAGAATCGAGCTGTAAATCGCTTTACACTCCACACTAGACAACCATGCAGAATAGTTTCCAGAAATACGTCTGGATAGAGTACACTTTGTGTGACCTGTATAACCAGCTCCACAAGAGCTGGTGAATTGTTAAACACACTAGGAAGTAGTTCAAAGTGATAGTTTATCCCTGATTCACCCTCAAAACAGTTTTTGACTTGAGAAAACAATGCAGCTAGATTGAGAATACGATAAAAGTTTATGTTCAAATTTTCCGATATTTTAGCCTTCATTAATAACTTATATTTGTATAAATCTCAGTATATATGGAATAAATAGTTCCAGTGTTTTGTACAAAATTCTTCTTCATGCCTCTTCCATGCGAGATGTTACAATTATTTATCTGAAACACTCTGAGATTTATATAAATAAAGCTTATGTCTTACGTCAACTTTTGACTCAGTGATCAGTATTTGTGAAATTATCCAATCGAATTTTTAGCAGGATTCATTTAAATGAAAGTCTTTTCAGAATTTTCATGAAATTACTTCGTAGACGCCAATATCACGTAAATTTATAATAATACTACTACTACTAGTAATGATAATAATCACTTTATTACAAACAACATATATGATATTGCATGGAATCTCCCAATAAATTTACTTTCCGTACTATATTTTCAAAAGAAATAACTGTTATCAATGACAGTATTGCAGGGAATAAGAGTGAAACGGATAGTTAGTGTTACACTAACATCTGTTCTTGATTCAGAAATTAACACAAAGTTGAGTGTCATTATGATGGTGGTAGGATTAGTTAGCCAGCAAAGAAATTCATAATCCCCATACACAGGTTATCCTAGAAAGAAAATAGTAATCTAGTGTATTTTTGAGCATTGATAAATCCATTTCCAAATGTATAAACGTTTTTCACCTGTTTTTGTTCTTAATCTGAGAAACGAAAGTTCGAAAACAATTTAAAAACAATGCGAGAGTACATCATGCGTTTAGAAGACATTGAAAAGGTTAAAACAAACTGAAAATGGAAGAATTTGATGCTATATATATTCGATGGAAAGTTTTTTTTGGTAGCCTAAAATTTAAGCAGGCTACCTTTTACCTGAAACGCTTCTAAACAGATGATTTTAAGTAGGAATTCAACATGGATTGAAATCAGTTGGAGAAGTATTAGAAACCTGGGAGCACTGGATAGCTGTTTCGCGTCCTAGCATAGGAATCCTCAACAATGCGTACTGATGACCCCGTCAGGGATCACTTAATAAATCCACACAAATCTCCAGATAGAATTAATCTAGCACTCATTAGGGACTAGTTTCGAGAGGTGATTCTGGAAGTTGCAATAAAAAGTCGTGACCAATGGAGTTAACCAAGTCCAACAAGTGGACAGTTACTCAACGACGACATTACATGTAGATTGCGCTATATTGTGAACTGAGAGAAGTAAAAAATATGGACCAATGAATTTCGACTCAGTGACTCAATGTTAATCTGCTGGTCATGGAACCTAAAGGTCCTTGGTTCAACCTCTGACGGGTCTTTTCCAGTGCTCCTAGGTTTTCAATGTTTCGCCAAATAAGTTTCAGTCCATGTTGGATTCCAACCAAAAACCTGACAGGATTCCACTGTTGGCCACTATCCATCATTACTATCATAAGAGCACATGTAATATCGAGGCATCCGCACAGTATCGTATATGCCAACAGAGATCGATTAATTCGGTTCAATCAACGACGGTATAATATAAAAACAATTATATACTAATCTAACTGGTTGTTTCAATAGTCGATCAGGTGACTGTTAGTCTCAAATCTGTCTTCATCTTTCAAATGAATAAGGTGAGCTAACAGAAGTTGGAAATATGGATCATTGGATTCTGACCCAGTAACTCAATGGTAACTTGTTGGCCACGGAGCCTGAAGGTCGCGGGTTCGATTCCTCGCAGGGTCATGGGTGCGCACTGCTGAGGAGTCCCATGCTAGGACGAAACAGTTGTACAGTGCTCCCAGGCTTTCTTTGTTCCTCTCCAACTGATGTAAAATACTTTGGTCAAACAAATTGCTAAATACACCTTAACTGTTTACGATTAAAATTAAATTTTACAATGTATAAAACTTGAATTGCAATACTAATTACCAGAAGAATATATGAAGTATTTATCACTCTGCTTTTATGCTATACCTTATATATTTTTATTCGTGTTTTTATTGTAGGCAAATGCGTTTTCTGGAATTGATGCAAATCTGGCGATTTTCTGGACCGTATATTTATATGTTGGTGAAGATGGTATGTCTGTTTAATGACTGCATTTACAGAATTATCTTTTTGGCATCCTTTAATAATTAATCTCGATATTAATCAAGTGTTTTTTAAGAAAACATTCTAACAACTAGTCAGATAACTAATTAGATTTTTGTCCATACAATTCGTTTTTTAATACAATGAAGGTACTTGGTGTGCATCCATAAACCGCATTCTTCAAATTACATATCCCCTATATCATTTTCATAAAAGTAGTACTAACCAAGTTTACAGAGTAAGAAGAATTTATTTCATCCCAAAGTTTTTTCTTCGGTTGAGTTTATTATATGATTATTATTATTATTTGTCCCTTACGTTCCTAATGGAACATACAGCTTCAATAGCACGTCTTCATTCCACTCTGTTTTCTGAAATCTTTTGAACCTGGCTGCATGACAGCCAACAACCTCTCATTTCCTCCTCACACCATCTCCACCATGTTACCCTCACCTCCCACGCCCAACTCGTTGTTTCCCATCTGGATTCCACTCGAGTGCCTGGCCTGGTGCGTGATGTCCCTGAATGGTCTTCTCAGTGTATGCCCAATCCACCTCCACTTCCACTTCCTTCCAGTGCATATTTGTTCAGCGACAGCTTCTCCCTTCGTTGATTCGTTGCCAGCCAACCAGCCAGAGTTCCTTGTTGCTTATTCTTATTATTCTGGCCATCTCATCTGAGCTTCAGTAAGGAGCCAGCGTAGGTGATAGTTGTTGATGAATGTTTGTGGTTTGTTGGAAATGCCTTTCATAACGCGCCAAGTCCCCAACCATCACATACAAGCACTGACTTGACTTATGTTGGTGTTGAAAATCCGGATCCGTATCCAGATTTTGTTGACGCTTTATGCTGAGTGCAGTGCAGTGCAGAAGTTCTCCATACTGGTTTGAGGGTTAATGAACGCCTGTCTTGCTGTATTGCCGATGCTGGCTGGCTTTGACATCCTCATCTATGCCTGTGCCACCTGTAGCTGAAACAGTGCTGCCTGCCTATATAAATGTAGGTGGAAGAGGCTAGTTCCTTTAAGTTCCTCCCATTGATGGTGATTGGAGGTTGTTGTTGTTGGTACTGGTAGTTTTGTTGGCTGTGTGTATCTTCATCACGTCTACCTCTGTCTTCTCTACGTTCGGTTGAATAGAAGATATTAAAGAGATTGTAATACATACATCGTTACAATAATTCTCATGTATGGTGAAATCACCGTGTGAGTAATCTTTAGGTCAGGCGAAGAGTCTCAGTCAAGTTAAAGAAGTCAATCGATAATGTTATAACGTTTCATTGACTGAGCTGGCTTAAATATATGTTTTGCATGATGATCTACCTTCTATTTCAGTGTACAATGTTTTGCTAATCCAATTTATAAACTCAAAAATAAGCTTTGTCGGTTGACTTAAAGATCTAATAGAATCAATTAAGCAAACTAGTATTGATTTATCAAATTTTGAGCAATGAATACGAGGTCAAACTAACCAATCAAGGTTAGTTAAAATAGCTGAACATAGGAATTTATCTAAGTATAGAATGATTAACCTCAAGAAGATCAATAATCTGGAAGAAGAAAAAACAACTCGGCTTTTGCAATGTATGCTTTAACACAGAATCATATAATACGATAAGATAAGGTTACTGGATCTTTGGTCATCGAGTCAACATCCAAGACATATAATAAGAATGACGTAACACCTATAGCAGAGATTAATTTATGCTGGATACATCATCAAGTAAATCATCCGATATGATCTGTATGCTATTTATTAAATAAACAAATTGAATATGGAATTTTATATTCCATCACAGTGCCTAAACTTTACATCTATCTTTATTCCGATTTTCTATTTCATTGAAAACAAATGAGATTTGAGTTTTTTCACAAAAAAGACATTTTGCTAATATTACATAACATAGGAATATCTACGAATACTAAATTTCTAGCCATCGTGTATATCACACTAAGTTATGCATAAATTAATAGATTTTGGAATACATATTAGGTAAGGGTTATTTACCATGTCGTAGACAAGAAAGTGTAGAGTTATTGACCCAGGGCTTGGACACTATCAACTGACTACTCTCAAACAGTTGATTCCAAGTTCAAATTTCACTACATTTACTTCCATCTGGGGTGCAACCAAGGTAGTATCATGAGTCTTCATACATTTACTCTAGCTCATAGTGTAGTACGCAAAATATTATCATTATCAAGTAGAAAGGTAGTGAGGTGAAGGATGAAGATAAGAGAATCCTGTCAAAGAAATATAAACTATGAGAAGCAAGAAAGGAACAATGAAAAAGTGGTGAGATTCTGTATAGCGTCGTTAAGATGAGGATAATGTGTGTGGGGATACATCTGCGCCACTGACATCGGCTCTGAGTCATATCACCTAGAGTCAGTCTCCAACCACTGGTTCCTCTTGTCCCGTGGACCCCAATCACCCAGTTTGCATCGCCCTACATGGCTTAAACCAACAGTCAGAGACTTCATACATTGGTGCCATGTTTTAGTCTGGCCACCTCGGATCATTTTCCAGTCTGGACCTACTTCACCCAACATTGTGTGGCGAGGCAATCGGTGAATGGGCAGACGTAGTAAGTGTCCCAACCATCTCAATCGATAAAGGTTCATAACCTCGTCAAGTGATTTACCTCTTCTCCCTAAAACTCTACACCTAACTTCTGCATTACTCACATGTTGACACCACGGAATATGGCCTATACTACGAAGGCGATGGTGGTCAAACACTTGAATCCTTCTCATATCTTCCACTTTCAATGACCACTGTTTCACAGCCACAGAGTAGAACAAAATGGACTGCTGTGAAGTACACGCGACCCTTAATGGACAAACGGAAATCAGGGCGGCGCCATAGGTGGCGTAAATAGGCGACAGCCAAATGAGCCTTTTATATCCGTGAAGAGATTTGATGGGCAACTGACCCACCAGGGTTGACCCTACTTCCCAGGTAAGGGAAGTATTCGATACACTCAACTACTACACTCTCTATTGTTAGCCGTGGCAAATTTGCATTTGAGTGGTGAGAACCGCATCCCAAACATTTTCAAATTCCCACTCAAAGTTTTCAGAAGACTCTGCATCTCATCAGTCAGCGTCTTCACCTAACAGGACTGACTATGTCATCTGCATATTCTAGGTCTGACGAAAATTCTCCTGTGATTAGGTTAAAGTGTGTGTAATTAGGTGACGAGAGGGAGACCTCCATAAGTATATCTATGATGAAATTGAATAATAATGGAGATAGTGGGCATCCTTGACAGACACCACTCGATGAACAGCTCCCTGGACAACTCGCCATAGGCTCTAACACGCCCACATGTGTTCGAGTAGAGAGCCTTCAATAAGGTAATGTACTAGCCCGGCACGCGTTTCAGTAACAGATATTGCCGTAAGACTTCTCGATCAACAGAGTCAAATGCCGCCTTCAGGTCGAGAAATACAGCCATTGTCGGACGTCTGTAAGTGTGCCTATGTTCCAGGACCTGTCGCAGTGTGAATATTTAGTCGATACACCCGTGGCCGGGTCTAAAGCCTGCTTGGTTATCTCGGGCTTGCTGTTCTCGAGCTCCACTCAGGCGTCGGAGAATTATAGAACCTAAGATTTTGGATACTATGTTCGTCAGGCTGATTCCTCTGTGGTTATCACAAGAGGACTTTTCTCCTGTCTTGAAGACTGGGATAATCAGTGACTTAGACCAATCAGGTTAAATGAAGAAGTAATATAGTTTATGCAAATGAAGTCTCTTCTCATGGTTAATGCACATAAATATTGACTTTCTGTAGGTTTTAATAGTGTGAAAAAATACAATATTCCTGGCTGATACCTATGAAGCAGTTAACATAAATGTTAGCAACACTAACCTCTTGTCTATTTCTGAAGCTTGAATATCTGATCCATCATTCTAAGGCTATTTATTTCTCACCTTGGTTCTATTTCATTTCGACAAAGGTTACCCTCAACAGTTTGTGGATCTAAGTTTTCAAGTGTTGTGACCGAGTGGTGGGGTTACGCGCGTGGGTATAATGAATACTGAGACTCAATAGACACCTCAACCGAATACCTTTACGACTGACCCACCTCAGTACCTTCTGCTGCACTGAGCCGTGGAGAAATCAGAAGACAAAGACAGCCTGCGACTGCAAAAACAGCGACAACAACTTTTATTAGTCAAATACATGACATATATGTATTTACAAAACTCTCAGAAAGTGAAGCCATAAATGAACTAATCCGATTTCTTGTATGAGGTCAAATTTCTCCAATCAGGTTCTCATGTCAGTGCATGTATAAATCACCACCTGAACGTGATACGATCATGACTTGAAAACAACTCCCCTATTGGCTGCCTTTTTGTCTCTACGTATCATCAAGTGCATGCGTTTCTGCATGATTCTTGATACCACATTACATTCTCTTCCTAAATGCATTTTTCTCTGAAATATAACCCAATAACTCGACCTCAATCAAATAATTGAACCAGATTGTATAATACATCAATCAAGTACTTCATTTATATATATCTTTACTTATAATTATGTGAAACTATAATACATTCTATTGTTACTTCATTCACTTTAGGTTCGCTTGATGATTCCAATGCTCACTTTACTCTTTCTTCCATTGTTGGCATTTGGTACAATTCGTCAGGGGATTATGTATCCTATGCATACACATGTCAATCTTGAATCTATTAAAGGCATTATGCTGAAACCATATTTCATGTTATATGGAGAAGTATACGCTGGTGAAATAGATCGTAAGTTGTATCCGTCTTACTTTAGTGATTTCCTCTTTTCTGTTTATTCATAGAAGGCGAAAAAATAAGATTATCCCATTGTTGTTATTGTTTTCTTCTATAAACAACTAGGATGTTTACTCTATTGCATTTAGGAGCCTATCTGACATACTTGTAGCCTAAAATGATATGCCGATAACGTTCAAGGTTGGCGTTTATCCCTCATAAACATTCATACACCTTGAAACTGCTTCACTTTTTTATGAAGTAAGTGCTGATGCAGTTTTCTAGCCTGGCGATGAAACATCAAACAACAAACCTCAAAGCTCGGAGAACATCATGCAATTATCATACATACACTCTATCGATCTTCAGTGCAGTTTATCGCTAACTATGGTGACTCTCTGGACTGATTACTCATTCTTCAATCATTGGATCATAGATTCGTACTCACTATATCCTTCTATTGCTTCTCATTCTCAAATACTTACTGCTAACCTTCGTAAAGTTTCGTGCTCCGTTGGTCCTTCGTCAGCCAGCCAGTATTCCATATTATTCTGGCCAGCTCACCTGATTTTCAGCATGGAGTGAGCGTAGGTGACAGTTGTTGATGAATGTCTGTAGTTTGTTGTGAATGCTTTTCGTGACGCGCCAAGTCTCTCAACCACCACATACAAGCACTGACTTGACTGACGTTTGTGTTGAAAATCTGGATCCGGATGTTGTTGACGCTTTATGCTGAGTGCAGTGCAGTGCAGTGCAGTGCATTCGATCTCCACACTGGTTTCAGTTTAATGAACGCCTGTCTCGCTGTCTTTCCTATCCTCTCTGGTTTTGACGTCCTCGTCTGTACCTGTGTCGCCTGTAGATGAAACGATGCTGCCTAGATAGGTGTATGTTGAAGAAGCTACTTCCTCTACGTTTCTCCCTTTGATGGTGATTGGTGCCTCTTGTTGTTGGTGGTGGTAGTTTTGTTGGTTGTGTATCTTCATCACCTCAGTCTTCATTATGTTCACCTGAAGTCTCGTCTTCGCTGACATGCCCTGCCCTGCCCAGCCCACCCCCTTCTGTCAACTTCTTAATTTTCGCCTGTACATCTTCAACTTTGTGCTACCAGACATTAGACACAAGTCATCGGTGGCGAAATCCATATCTTCTACGTTCTTTTCCACAATCTAGCGTATCACCCTCTTCTCACAGCTCCTCACTGTTTGTTGCATGATCCAGTCCAATGCAGTCGACTGCAATCAGGAATATGATGGGTGATAGTAGGCAGCAGCCTTGTTTTACTCCTCTCTCTTGTCTTCACTTCAAAAGTATCACTGAGCTTCCCATTGTGAATTACTTGGCATGTGGCGTGTTCATATAGTTGTTGGATGAGATTGATAAAGGTTTTCGGTATTCCGTAGTGTTTCCAAATAACTTCTTAGTCGACGCTATCAAAGGCCTTCTCAAAGTCGATGAAGTTGAGGTAGAGGGCATTACCTCAGAGCTATAAAATACACTTGAAGTACTTGTACTTGTGTAATAAACTTACTCAAGTATCAAAATAATTGATACTTACTCAGTGTTCTCTTTTATTTTTTATAAGCAGTTCATTTTTATGCAGTGTCTCAGTATGGATTTTGGATAAGATGTCTGACTCATCGTACTAGAGACATTTCCTCTGATAATACCATGGAGGAAGAATTGACTATTATCTATAAAGCAATTAGTAGAGATAGATATCCAATTGAGTTTGTCAGTGAGCGTATGAATGTAAAAAAAGTCTAATTAAATATGCTTGCTGTTTCTAAAATGCTGCTCTTCTAAGAACTTGAATCTAGAAGTGATATCATTTATAAAGTAGTGACATAGTGTTCTAGAAGTGTTCCATTCAAAACATTACGTCCCATCTTTGGTAACTGGTAGGCTGTAAGAGCTAGAAATTCAGTAAGACTGTTATGGCTTCGAAGGAGCTAATGGATATATATATATATATATATATATATATATATATATATATATATATATATATATTCCAGAACGAATATATGGTACGTGCGCTCAGCTGACAGATAACCTGGTACGCAAGAGACACTGACTACAACCCATGGACGAATAGAGAGAAGACCGAAGATGGTGGATGGGAAGGTGTATTACTCTGAGAATGCGATAAAATAAAATCAATCCAAAACACGTGAATACGTACACACATGACAAATGACCTTGTCCTCAATTTGAGGCATTTGCATAGTAAGAGTAAAAGTTAACCAATCAGCGATTTACATTACAATGTAGGCATAAAATAGACTATTAGTCATGCTGTAAAGAAAATGTTGTGGGAATGACGCATTAAAATGTTCAGATGGATAACGATGTTTGATACAAACTGGGGCATCACAACACCTCCCCGCTTTTGAAGAAAAATCAGAAAACTTTAATGCCTTGCTAGGGAAAACCGGACTAGGTTGGAAGACAGACCAGTTGATGAAGTCTCTTACTGTTGGTCTGAGTCGTGTAGGGAGACGTAGACTGCCTGGTTTGGATTCCAGAGACGTTAGGAACCAGTGGATGGGAAGTCTTAGTGATATGGCTAAAAATGGGTCACAATGGCGCAGATGTATTCACTCATGGACATCTAAAGTTTGAATATTCACACTAACCTTTATCATTAAGCTGTTCATTCACTCACACAGCTTCTATTTTGATATCTGTCCTTTTGTATCTGCATATCCTTCCCGTGCAACTATGAAGTATGGCAACTTGAACCGATGCACTTTTGTATGACGTTCAACACTGATTTTGTCTGTTTTTCTTCCTATATATGTGGCACAGATATATTCATACAATATCTTCATCTTTATCAAAATATCGAACTTCATTCTTGTCCATTCTTTCTTTTCTTTTCTTCACTTTCTACCATTTCACTTGCTTCTTTTCCGTCTTTCCTGTTATTCCATTCTCGCTGAATGTACTAACTTAATGTCTAGCATCTTGGACCATTACGCAATAATTTCGGTTTCCTTTTTCATGTTAACTGACTGACTAAATTATTTCAAAATTACTTTAAATATTCTCTGTCCAAACAGAAAGGATTATATTTCAACCGTTACCTTCAAATAGTTATCTGCCACCGTTACTTGTACTAATAAGGTCAGTTGGCGGTGTTCACCACTCACGCACGCACACACACACACACACACACACACACACACACACACTTCCTGTCGGTCATAGATTTCCCCTCTGTTAACTGTTGAAGAAACAGAAGACAACTCGACGAGAGAGTGTTTATTAAGAACAGTTGGAATGGTAGTAGTTACATATGTACTCCTTGCACTAACGCAGCCATTTGCAAATGTCTTCGTTTCCTCTCCGTTCCTGTCTTGATTTGCTCTTGACCGGCTGTTCATACACTTATCAGCAGCATCCCCTGTAATACGCCTGTGTTGTCCTCTGCGTTGCTTTTGGCAGAAACCTTACCTATTGCCGGTAATCCCCTATGATTCCTGCCACCCTCTCGATATATACTACTTATATCCATTGTTATCAGCAACGCCCACCACGCTGTTACTGACTATACAAATGCTTTTACTGCTACCGTTGCTAAGTTTTAGTTGGTATGCACTTTTTCTTTAAAACTGATATGATGATATATGTGGTTAATATGATATCTATGTAAAGTATCTTAACTGAAATAATATAACAAGCTTAGTGTTGTGCGCTACTTATAAGAACATCTGTAAGTTGTATTGTTATGATTTCGAAGGCTAATGGTATATGTATTCCGAAACGAATATAATACGCGCGCTCAGCTGACAGATAACTTGGTACGTCAGAGGCACTGACTACAACCCCTGGACGAATAGAGAGAAGACCGAAGCTGGATGACGGGAGAGTGTATTACTCTGAGAATGCAATAAAATAAAATCAATCCAAAACACGTGAATACGTACACACATGACAAATGACCTTGTCCTCAATTTGAGGCATTTGCATAGTAAGAGTAAAAGTTAACCAATCAGCGATTTACATTACAATGTAGGCATAAAATAGACTATTAGTCATACGGTGAAAAGTGGTATGGGAATGACACGTTAAAATGTTCAGATCAATAATAATGTATTACACAAAACTGAAGCATCACAACAAGTACGCACTGCGATATTGCTGATAAAAGTATTTAGAGTTGACATTCAATCAATCGATAGGGGTTTTCAAGAGGGAAACAATAAACATTTGATGATAATCGAAGAACCAACAGGAAGAGACGGATAGTTCATTTGAAAAATTGAATCCAGATGTTATTTGCATCAAACGCGTTGAATGCAAAGTTGTAATATTCTATCAGTACTTTCTATAGTTCCTTAATAAAAAAAAACCATTGAGCTTCACCAATCTCGTTCTCACAATTCGACTGAGATATTTGAAGGGACGTGTAAAAAATGAACTGGTAATTTGTATATTAAACAATTCTAAGCGTATAAGAAATCATTTGATCTCCTCTTACACTGTTGTAGGTGTTGTGGATGCTTGGATTACTAAATACATAGGACGAATGTATTTCCATGTATGAAGTGTTGATTAACAATTCTCTCCACTCTATAGTTACATCTAAATCCCAGTGTTCCATTCTTGACTTTATCCATCAATATATTTACTCTGTGTTTTTCATTTCAAAATCTTAAAGAAATCAGGCTTTAAATAACTGTAATAAAAGTTATCTACACTGCTTAGGTCCGTGTCTTCTAACTGATTTGAAGTTGGAAATATATTCACCACTCATCATCATCATGAAGACCAAAATAGGACGAGGCATTATTGTGTAGCGGTCAAAGTTGCCACACTTAATCTCATATCACCACATCAAATAACAAGGAATAAAATGAAAGATGAGGAATGGTAGAAAAATAGGCCAGAGGAAGTAGAAAGTGGTAAAAGCGAGGAAGGAGGAATGAGAAAATGATGGGATTAAGTTTAGTGGTTATGATGAGGATAATGTATTTATACATCTGGCCCAAGGTGGCCAGACTAAAACA